CAAAATGCTTCACAGCCGAAAAGACGTGGTCGTTCTCAAAAACCACGACCTATCGTTCCCGCTGGCCCTCTACCCAACCAGCAGCCGGCGATTTCCTCTCAGGTTCAACCGCAATCTTCGACTACAAATGATACTCCGGTGTTTGTGCAATATGTAATTCCGACAAGTAACAACAGTGGCATAGTCGATGCGAGTTCTCATTTGACGCCTGCGCCGAAATCTTCGCACGCAACTAGACCTCGAAAGAATAGTTCTGTTGGTGGTGGCAATGTTCCTTCTGCCCCAAAACGCCCTAGAAAGCAGAAGGATAATAGTAATGTTTCAGCAAATGGCATTCACGTTACTGGGGAGGAGAATAAGAATAATAAACAATTTTCAGAATCTCTTCAATTACCTCCCGCGGTTATCAATAATTCCGAAGGTTCCCTTTCCTCTTCGTTCACGTCAATGTCCACTAGCCTTGGAACTTCGACAATTCCAAACCGTAAGCGTGAGCGTGAGCATCCTGCGCCAAGCTCACCAAGAGATACTTCTGAAATAAAGCGAAGCAAAAAAGAAGAAAACGTCGATGATGATGTAATGATGGAAGATGCTTCTGTAACAAGAGATGATAATATAAGGAATTCCTCAGACGAGGCAAAGTCTTCACCTTCACATATGGAAGCCGTCTTTATTCTACAATCGCTCAAAGAGGGTGAAGGATCGAAGAGTCCCCCTACTGAAGTTGTCGCGAGTCCCTCTGCCACTCCGGACATTGTTGGCGTAAAGGAGGAGGTTAAGGAGGTTACCAAACAAGTTTCTGAAGAGCCAAAGGTCGACCAATTCGAAAATCTGGTTGCGACAAAAGTTCGAGAACTATCACTTGACGAAAGCGATCAATTTAAAGGAGCGGAAGACGTTAATGTCAAATCACCATTGATTCTTTCAGAAGATCTCGCAAAAAATTCGAGGAACGGCGGAGCCGTCAAACAAACTTTGACCCCTAATAAACCGAAAAAAAAGGGTTTCAACGGTGGCAATAATAGTCGTAACGACGCTACTAATAATAAGGTTACCCGGACAAGACAGATGCCATCTGTCTCGATAGGCGATCAAAACGCGGGGAATGATTCTGATAATGATCTGGCCATGGACGACGGATCGGACGACGAGGAATATGCTAAGCGTAACCAACCTATAAGTAATCATAGTGTTGACGACAGTCTTCAGTGGAATAGCGACGAAATGGAAACCGAAGAGGAGGTGGAGGAGGAAGTGGTGATCTTTGAAAACACGGGAGTCAAAGATGAAAGCAAACCAACGTTTGTTTCCTCGCCTCCCCCTCTACCGTCTTTGCCTCCGACAACCGCCTCTCATCCGAACCTTGTTAGAACAAAGAACGAAGATTGCAACGGTGCCCTTTCAACGATATCCTCTGCGACACACATTACATCTGCTAATCCAAAAAATTCACGTCCTGCATCTCCCATAACCTCTAATTGTGGTACCGCCTCAAGTTTAGTGTCACGTAAAGGTTCGGTATCCAGTGAGAAAGATGTCTTTTCCGATGTTTTGGATACGTCATTAGCTTCACCGTCACCCTCTACTACAACCTCGAACCATATTACCAATGGAAATGGCAAGCCTCCAAGACCTTGTCCGCCCAGACGTAGATCCACTATGAGAGATGACGAAAAGCTGGAATTGGGTGCAATAGAGTGGGAAAAAAATATTGAAATTCCTCAGCACATCTGGGAGGAAACTTTGCGAGTGTTTGAGATTGTAAAACATTCCAAAGAGATGAAGAATCGCCAACCTCACCGTAAACGTAATCACATTCTCGCGTCCATATTGTTCATTCTATGTCGCCAAAACGGTCTACCACGTACATTTGTAGAAATTTGTAATGCGGCTTCCATTCGGAAGCAGGAAATTGGTAGTTATTATCGTCTCATGTTAAAAGTGTTTGAGAGTAACGGTCTGGGCGGGGGATCAAATGGTACTGTCGATTCAGCCGAATATTTGGTACATACAAATTGTGTTAAATTTTTTGTAAAAAAAAATTTTTTTTTATTCATGTTTGGTTAATAATCCTAATAATTTACTTTTCATCCCTTGCAGAAACGATGGTGTCAAAATCTCAAACTTCCATCGCATATTCTCGACGCAGCGATCCATGTCTACAAGCAAGCTAGTGAGTTGAATATCACCACCGGTAAATGTCCTGTTTCGGTTGGAGCTGCTTCTATCTGGCTATCTATTTCTTCGTGGAATGAAATTCGATCGAGTTGGAACAGTAATGATGATCATGAACAAATAAAGTGCGAGCACAAAGACGTGGCGCAAGCTGCTGGAGTGGTTAATGCTACTCTTGTTGGTTGTTTCAAGAATCTATCGAAGTACAAGGATCAGCTTTTACCGGCGGAATTTTTACAAGAGGCAAAAACGAGACCGCCATACAATCACAAAACAAGTGACTTCTCCGAAGGTAGCCCTGGTAGTAATACTGTTGAAAACGATTGTCGTGACGAAAAGAAGACGACGTTCTTTAGTTCCACCCCTTCACTTGAAAACCTCAAATTCTATGGTCCTCCTTTGGACGAAGATGAGGAAGTCGCTGAAAATGATAAAACTAAAGGTGTGTAGAAATTCATGTTTTCACTCGTTGGTAATTATTTTTATTTATTTTAAGGCTGATTTTTTTATCAAACTCCTTTAGTTGAAACCATAAAAGTCGAATCTATAAAAGTAGAACCCACAACCCCTACGATATCCGCCTTGCCAAATAAAGTAGATTCCATAACCTCTCCCAGGTCGAAATCCCTTCAGTTGCAATCTAAAAATTGCAAAATTGAGAACTGTTTTTCAAATTCGGTAAAAGTCGAGCCCACCCATTCGTCTTTCAAGGAAATCAAACCTGAGAAATCGTTAGTGATGTCGAAAGATACTGTGCCAGAACCTCATGATGATGCGGATGATGAATTAGAGGAGGGAGAATTAAGGGAGGATTGTAATGACGCTATGATGGATTAATCTTTAATTTAATATCATTTCTGATAGGTCATTTATGTAATGATAATTTTTAGAGTTGAATTTGGATTTTAAGAGTGGGAAATTTTATTCACAATATTCTAGAATTAAGGGTGTAGTTGTAGCATCTATCAATTAATGTTTATATAAAAATTGTTTCTTTTTTTCTTCTTTATCTCTTTAAAAGTAAATTTACACCACGTAAGAAGTTTTTAGTAATCTATTATTCTCCACTGGTAATTAATTATCATTTCGCTCTCTAAATATTTATTATGCTTCAATATCGCTTTTTCAACAGTTGGTGAAAAATCAAGTGTGAACCTGCTAAACGAAGCGTGGTGCAATAATTTGGTAGAAGTGGTGGGATGGTGGCAATTTATAAGATAGTTGTACATATCAAATACAGTATAAAGAACGAAGAGGTACTTCTCTTTCTTTGTTCACTGTACATAAAATCCTTAGAGAAAATAAATAAAAGTACAATACAGAATCAAACGTACACACGCAGAAAGTCTTTGTTTAGAAAGATTAATTTATTATTACTTGATCTCGTCCTTCTGAAGAATACAAATTTTCCCGAGTATTCATCGAATGATCAACTTAACATTTTTACCGCTTCAGAAATAATCTCTAGAGTGTGACTAAAATTTATTTTCGAATGCGGGACTTACAATAGATTGCATAATTTAACGTACAAATTAAATACACAAATCAGCATAATAGAATAGATCAATATTTTTTTTAATCAAGTAAAAAAGACTAATTGTAATAATTTGAAATCATTATTCTTTATTATGCTTTGAGTTAAATATATTTCAAGAAAAATCTTATAAAAACTTCTTTTCAATTGTCTTTTTAACAAAAATTAAATAATTAATATAAAGTACATCAATTTGAGCATAAGTAAAAAATAAATTAATTAATTAAAAAATAAAATTGTTACAATATTGAACAACTTTATTTTATTTATTTACTAATTTATTACCTATTTATTTATTTTAGTAAGTAAACATTATTTTTTTATTCGTTTATATATCACACAGTATACATTTAGAAAAAAATAATATCTTTCACATATATTTGTAATAAGTTAAATATTAACTTACAATAGTTATTTAATTTATATTTAAAAGAACTTTTTAAATCAATATAATAGTTATATGATATCAAGCAACCGTAAGTACTTAGAATTAAAGTGAATTAAATTATAATTATTAATAATAAAATTGAAAATGCATAAGAAGTAATTAAAATTATTTTGAATAAGTGTTTTAATAACAGAAGTAAAAAAATAAATTATAATATTATAATAATAAAAAAATTAAATTTGATTCTTGCTTAAAATTATTTTTAGATAAAGTTTTTATTTTATTTAATATTTGCAAATAATTAAATATTTATTATATTAATTTATTTTATAATCTTTTTTTTTAAAAGTTTTATAATAATAATTATAATTATTATTTATTAAAAATAATTTGAATTTTTTTTTACTTATTAATCTATTAATTAATATTAAATTTTATTTTCTATTTTTATTTTTTTTTGTAACATATTTTAAAATTTATAATATAAAGAATTTGTTTAAAATAATTTAATATTTTTTTATAATCTTAATAGAAAATATATTTAATATTATTAAATATTATATACGTATATATATATTTTTTAAAAAAATAGATAGTTTATATCTTTATTCAAATCAAAGTAAATATACAGTATGAAAAGTTCAAAATATTATATCTATTTATTTATATATATACAATAATTGTTTAATTTTCAATTTTGAACTTTTCATACTATATATTAATTTTCTTATCAATATTTAATATATTTAAAATTCAACTAACTTAAAAATACAATAGTTAAATAGTATTAAAAATTATATTCTATTGTGAAAGTTGTTATCAACATAAGCAGCAATATTTCTTAATTGATTTTATTAAACATTACTAATTTCAAAAAAACTTAAAACAAATTAAACTTTTTTATACCTTTTGATTTCAAATTTATAAACTTTTTTAGTAAAATTTTTTAATATCTAAAAAATTATTTATCAAAGTATTGTATCTTTATTTTTTTCAAAGAAATAAAATAAAAACTTCTTTTTTAACAATATTAAGATAAGAAAAGAATAATTTTAGTTAATAGTTTTATTGATTCTATTTTAATTGTCCAAGATTTCAAATTTAATTATTATTATTATTTTAATATGATTATATTAATTAAAATATATAATTTCAATTACTTATTTTTTATAATATATTCAAGAAAATAAAGTTTTATTATACTCTAAATACAATCTTATTATACTTGAATAAAAATCTATTACTGTTATCCTTACTAACAGCTTGAAATATTTTTATATTTTTTATTAGTATATATAATACTTTATCAGATCAAATATTTACATATATATAATTATTCCAAGATTGATTTATATTACTTTAATAACAAAACTCTCTCCTGATCGCT